GTGAAACTGTGTCGTAATTTTCCAGGAAATGGCTAGTTTTAGTAGTCACATAAGATTCAATCTTGCATGTATTGTATTATATTCCTTGAAGACGAAAACAAAGGAATGCTTATTACAAAACTTTGAATATTAAAATTTTGATGTTCGGAAAATTATATTATTAAATAAGATTTATGATTTGTTTCTACTTTGTTTGGTAAGGAGAAAATCATCAAATGACTTTTCTCGCCCAGGGTGAAGCGAGAGAGATTGTCAGAGGCTTACTGACAAAAAACACTGCAGTGCACTGCACGGTATTGTCCACGGCTTGCCCAGGACCCTCAGCTGAACATGGGCCCTGTACCACTACAAGGCCGAGGCCTAGCCGGGCCGTGTGGCTTTTTGAGGCGCGCGGGGTACACTAAACGCCACGCGCTTCCTTAAAAGAAATGATAGAATTTTTTATTGGCTTATAGTCAGTAAGAGTCTGACACTCTCTCTCGCCCCGGCTTGGGTGAAAGAAATCATTGAATGATTATAATCCCTCAAAAAAGTATCAGTTAAAAGGTGAGAGGAGGACCGAGCAATTTTACTCTATAACTTTTACTATAAACGATCATGACTTTCATTGTAGGATTACCGTAAATATATTTACACAAATACAAAAGTATTATGCTTGTAACACTTAATGTTGTGTTTGTCAATTAATATTGTACACAAAGGCTATTTTTTAACATTTTTGCTAGTACACCTAATTGTTAATTTATGTGTAACAATTGTAGACAAACCAATAAATAAATGAACACAAGAATAACAAAACTTTTCTACAAGAATAAAAAAGGGTAAAAGCGTAAAAAAATACTTAGCTACTAGAGTGCCAAGTTAACAGTTTCCGTACATAAATTCCACTCAAACTAATTGCTCATATAGCGCTCATTTAAGTACTTTAATAAACTTAATTTGTCTAAAGTTAATTAAGCCTTTTTATTACGATGACGCATTTGAACGAAACGAGTAATTTTTCATTGAAGGAGTAAGGAGCGCCGTCCCACTTTTACGACCACGTTTTTCATAGAAAGCTATTGTTTTCAAATATACATTCTGAAACTATAATAATATTAATGTTTTATATTCTGTCATGATTTTGTTATCGCTTTCTAAGACTTCTTCTTCATCTTGTGGGATATTGATAAAACAACATCGAAATTATAACGACTCGTTAAAATACCTATATTATGTATACACACATTATGGTACATATTTATTATGATGTCATTTCATTTCAAGAATTATTGTGTAAGTCATGTGTTATCGTAAATATAGTCAGTATCAATTTATGCGCCTACCTACCTATTGGTTTACTGATTTTTTGATACTCACCCAATGAAGAACACACATACCTATAAGTTAAAGCAAGGTCACAAATTCTATTTACTAATACTAATAATAAAAAAATATTCCTTTCACGCCAAATTTTTTTAAACTGCCTTCAAAATTCATTTATTGTAAGGGACTTTTAATGAATTAATAAATATGTTTTAAAGTTGGTTGATAGTAGGTAGGTTATGTAGGTAGGTAAGGAACTATAGGTAGTGTATCCAGTTCATTATGATGGTACAGTGATTGAAGAGAAATGTTCATTAGTAAAAAAATACATATTAAAAAGTGAAGAAATTTAGTATTAGCCCTCGTGCGAAGTCTGGGTGGTAACTATTATTTAGGTATATAGAAATACCTAGGTATAAAGCGACTGTTACATTTTGATCAACAAAAAGCAATTACGAATGCAAGGCGACAAAAAACCACGTTTAATTTTAATACATAATTAGTAAATGTGCATAGAACACACGCTAACCATTCATTATACATACATATTTTTTATCATTTTTGACATCTATGATTATAATTCATTATTCATGCTGAGATCTGTTATCAATATTGATTGAGACAGTTTAAACTTGTGAATGATAAATGAATGAAAATTAATGACGAATACGAATGCAGTTCCCAGTTTAAAAAAATACTAGGTAAATTTTGTTTTGTTTTTTGCTGTTTAGTACACATTACAATAGAATTGGAATGTTTGTAATTTTAAATTTAGAGTTAGAAGCTAAAAATGAAGCTAATTTTTTTAGGGTTCCGTAACCAAATGTCAAAAACGAAAACCTTTAAGGATTCTCCATGTCTGTCAGTCTGTCCTTTGTCCGTATGTCGCAATGCCTTCTTAGAAATATGTAAGAATTATACCTTTAAAACTTAACAGATGTATACTGGGAAACCAAAAAATTGTGTAAATGAGATCGAATAAGTAGTTTTTTTTAATTGTTTGACAGTGAACATAAAAAAATATATTAACTTATGGTACGTTATATTAAATTATATGTATAGGTATACTTGCAATGAACAGACACTAACATCCTTAGGACTATAAATAGTGCACCGGAGTTCACCCGTACACACAGACTGTTTAAAATACCATCCATTGACAAGTACGCTTTCAATGCGAAACTCAATTAATCGCATGAAAAGACCAAATGGTCTACCCAAATAGGGAGTTAAAACAATCCTAACAATTTCTATCTACGTCTACTCATCTGATTATAGTCTATGCACTGATCGCAGATTCATTAAAGAGGAACATTAAAACTGGCTGTTCCTATTATTTTCTAAACAGCCAATTGAAATTGTGTTTCATGATGACCTAATAGTAAAAATTGTGTCATCCTATAATCTCCTCAGCTGGGGTTACGGATGCAAATGCAATAATCTACCACAAACCCAGCCCAGAGCAGAAAGAGCAGGGTGGTATTTAGTTACCAAGAGACTTACAATTATTTTTAATTCACCCAAAAGGTTGTGCCGGACCCAGAAGTCATTTGATTCCAAATCCCCTCTGGACAGTGGCATTTAAAAAGAAAATCATTGCACTTACTGAATAAAATTTACTTCATTTTCAACTTTATCAAATACTCATTAAAATTTATATTACCTAAATTTAATCATAACGATGACATGTTCCACAATAACGTTAAAGGCAAAATATAATTCTCCGAATAATTGTTAATGTAAATAAATTCTCATAAAGAGTTATCAATAAACTGCTAAATAATTTCAGTTTCAATCAACGCGATTGTAAATTGAAATGCTCTCCATTTCAATGAAATAAGGTTTAATTTAAATAAAATACATGATGCTTACAGATTTGTGGTTTATTAAACGATGAAAATGAAAAAGGTTTTGCACGTAATCACTTACGTCGGATTAATTATTGTCAGTAACCAATATAAAAATTCACACACACATCACATAGGCCATTTTTCCACTTCTGAACAAAGGCCTCTTCTCATACGGAGAAGGTTTGCGGTCGGCAATTATATAATAAGCATCGGCGATTATAAATGTTCTTTGTTAATTTTAAGTAAATTTATTATTTATATATTTTGTTTTTTTTTATAATTATGAAGAACCACTTCCACTGCTTAAGGAAAGTAGGGATGCATAATATATTTAATGGATTATTATTGATTATACACATATAATTTTCGAATTACTCTGTTTTTTTAACTTATTATTTTATTAGCGTTAAGTCTTCACAATATCGCCTTCCTTGATCATTTGTCTATTCAACACAAAAATATTTTTTTTATATTCAAAGCTGTTGAACACAGGAACGACACAAACTCTTCAGTTTCATAATATTCAGTATACGTTTCTGGAATAACACGTAGACCTCTTTTTAGACTGATACTGTGAGCAAAGCCGTGGGGAAAATCTAGTAACCATATAAAACTTTGAAATCTTTATAATTCATTGATAAAAATATGACTAAACTAGCTACTTCCACGCGGTTTCACTCGCTGCTCGCCTCCATTTGATTGTAGCGTGATGTTTTATAGGCTATAGCACTCGGGAACGTTGTAGCTATCAATCAGCCAAAGAATTCTGGGAATCCGACCAGTGGTTCCAAAGATTACCCTTTACGTACAAACTTACAAATTTTACCTCTTTATAATATAAGTATAGAAAGTATAGATTAACTGAGAAAAGTCTTACTAGTTTTAACTCGCAAGGATACCCTTATCATGAGCAGCGTTCGAGTCTCAAAGTCGTTATTTTCACGAAATTAACTATACAGAACCCTTTGCGTTGTTCTAAGATTATTCTTATCCTATAGCTCAAAACTAATTTAAAGTCCCTTTATGTATGAGGTCTAGTACAATCTTCGAAACAAAATGACTGAGATTATTGTCGACATCTGGACAAAGACAGATATTAAACACTACAATAGGGTTAGAGTATGTTTATACGAAGTGCTAATACTTGGTAAAGAGAGCTTACTTATGCGGCTAAGATTACGATGACAAGTTACTGAAGGTCGGGCACGCTACTATAGCAGCGGTAAGACCCCTCTTTGAGGAGTGGCTTGAGGGACGCCACGGCGTCCTCACCTTCCGCCTGACGCAGGTGCTTACCGGGTACGGCAGCTTCGGTAGGTTCCTGTTTCGGATTCATCTGAAGGAAACGCCTTAGTGTCGTCATTGTGAGGACCACCTAGAGGATACGGTGGAGCATACGATGGCGGTATGCCCTGCCTGGGCTGAGCACCGCCATGTCGTCAGGGAAATGATCGGCTGCGGCGACCTCTCGCGCCCGGCCTTAATCGAGGCCATGGTTCATAGCGAGAGGAACTGGGAAGCTATCTCCTCCTTCTGCGAAGCAGTTATGCTCGCAAAAGAGGAGGCGGAGCGCGTGAGGGAACTATCCTCCCCGCGCCCCAGCCGCCGCAAAAGGCGTCCGGACCGTTTCGGACGGCCGTTCCGGGCGTCGGGGATCGAGAGATGATCTCCGGCCACCGTAAGCGCGGGTCTGCGGACGGCGAGTAAGGGTAGCTCGCCGCCCGACCAGAACCAGACCCGAGCGTACGGCGCGTAGCGTTCCGCGCGCGCCTCAAAGAGCCAATAGACCACCACAGACGGGGCCCAATAGGGCTGATGTTCAGCTGGGGTTACGGGGAAAGCGCAATGAGACGCCGCGATCTCGGCCCAGAGCAGGAGAAGGAACGGGGGGGGTTTTTAGTCAGTAAGAGTCTGACACTCCCTCCCGCCCGGCCCAGGGCGGGAGAAGCCATTGGATGATTTTTCCCTGACAAAAAAAAAAGTTACTGAAGGTCAGGAAAGTTACTTAGGTAACATAACGTCTAAAACTTGTTCACTCTAAAATGTAATATAGTTTTTCACGTTTCAATAGAGTCGTTTGTTTTTCTAGATGTAAACATTTTAGAATGAAATATCATTTAATTAAACTTTTCTGTGTCTCTTTTCTGCTTATAATATAAATAACCCAGATTATTGTTTAGTATTAAAGTTTTTTCTTTAATTTTATTATATATTTTTCTTTACAAAGTATGTATAAGACACTTAGGTACACTTGTAATAATGGTGGTCCTTTATTTCGTTCAAGGCCAACATGACCTAAATCCTACTTCATAAGCCACAAACCACACTTTAAAAATGCCTACAAAAGAGTAATTAAATAAATAATAATTTTGTTGTAAATAAAATAGGAAGAAAAATTGTCCCCATCCCTAGTTCCTGGCTTACGTAGTAACTGACATTTTTAATCGTATGAGCTTGTACGCGACACGACTAATCTGAAAGTAATCCTACTTACAAAGCCTTAGTAGTGAGAAAAATAAACAATGGCATGTTATTTGGTAAACCGTTTATAATTTTATGTTATACATTGCTTTAACTAGTTTTGTATATTATTATATTTGAATATTAAGGAAATGTTACATATTGTTAAATGAGTTAAATAAAATAAAAAACTACCAACAATTTGACTCCATTCAACAACCTGTGGAAGAGGCATGCTTCGGCACGAATGGGTCGACTCGACCGGTGTGATACCACGGCCTTACAGAAAAACGGCGTGAAACAAACACAGCGTTGTGTTTCGCCGTGTGAGTGAGGTTACCGTAAGCCCAAGTTCCCTCTTCCTCCAATCCCTACCCAATCCCTAAATCTCCGAATCCCCCAAAATAAATCCATGGGCGGCGCTTATTGCTTACCATCAGGTAATCCGTCGACAAGTTTGCCGAGCCACCACACAAAAAAAAAAATTACGAGAAAAATACATTAAGAAGACTTAATATTATGTTAGCTTCTCACTCACTCACTAACTTCTCATCTCAAGGTTAAGAAAATATTAACTCTTTCATCGCTGTTCGTAACTAACTTACAACTAAGTATAACCAACTTTTAAATCGATAATTTCTCTTAAAATTATTATCTTTTTATATATAAAAATGGATCGCAAAATGTGTTGGTAAGCGCATAACTCAACAACGCCTGGACCAATTTTGCTAATTCTTTTTTTGTTGTGTTTGTTATTGTCAGGAGAAGGTTCTTAAAATATTAGAAAAGTAGAGGAGAAGATTAGGAAAAAATGATCCTTTGATAGCGAGATAGTAGGACCCGTGCGAAGCAGGGGCGGGCCGCTATTTTATTTATAAAAATGGATACTCAATAAATAATGATGCTCCATGCATACACTTAAGTGTATATTGTAAGTTTGCTTAACCTACTTTGAAAGTGGAACAGAGCCTTATGATTGCGTTATGAGTTCATAACTAGAAACTACATTCAAGATCGAAAGCACTATTAAAGCAAACATAACTAACGTTTCCAAAAAAAAATTGTTCTTTTGGTAAATATTTATATAAAAAAGTAATATTATAATATTTGTTCGAAATTTAAAATAGCCTTTTTACCGTCCGTTTATCCAATTTTGAATTCTATTTTGTTTGTTAAATGACAATTGGCGGCTGCAATAAACATTTGGTTTTGTATCGACTTTTTGAGGTATTCCTCGTAGCGCTCCCGTTTTGAAACGCTCCCATCTAAGCGCTCCCGTTTTATTCCTCTAAGCGCTCCCAAAAGGAGCGCTTCGAGGAACGATTAAAAATATTAAAATTTATTTCCTCGAAGCGCTCCCACGTTTAAAAATAGGGAAAGGCATGAAGTAAACGTAATGAATTATATCGATATTTTTTAAAAACTCATGTGCTCATCGTCATCGAAGTTGCTTAACGAAATTACGAAATTGAGAGAATAATATCTTTTTGCTTTCGGCACTCTCATGTGTATACAAGGACCAATGTTATTGTGTATTCAAAGAAGATGTTATAAATAAAACGCATAGATAAACTTAATATAAATTATATACGTATAATAATCACATTGCAGTAGATTTACTTCATGCTTTTCCCTATTTTTAAACGTGGGAGCGCTTCGAGGAAATAAATATTAATATTTTTAATCGTTCCTCGAAGCGCTCCTTTTGGGAGCGCTTAGAGGAATAAAACGGGAGCGCTTAGATGGGAGCTTTTCAAAACGGGAGCGCTACGAGGAATACCTCGACTTTTTTGCTTTTAACAATCTTTGTACCTACGGAATAGATGTGAAATTTGGTAGGCAGTAAAATTTTTACTTTAAATCTTAACAAGAATAAAATAGGTATAAAATGTAAAATTTGAATAATAAATTAAAAGATAAGAAATCAGATTTAAACTACTTACATTACTTTTTTCACCCATATTTATATGTACACATATTCATAAATTCTTGAAAATGCATTATCATTCAATCAATATTTTTATTTTTAACGTTCCGCAAAAAGGTTTTATTTCCAAGAATGAAACCTATTTATAAAGTTACAAAGAACTAACAAATGTAATACATAGGTAAGCAATTATTATTTGTGGATAAAAAAAATAAAATATCAAACTTATACGACTATTTATTTTCAAAGAGTGAAGTGTAAACAAAGCAATATTTTTATCATCAATCTTGAACATTTCTACTTAGGTACTCGTTTATTTGTCATTACTTCCCTGTGTTTGAAAAAGCTATTTCTTTTTTAGTCAGAATGAGACAGATATTTAATTTAGTACAACAACAGACGCCAGTTCATAAAAACTACTGAACAAATACAACATCGTAGATTGCTACCGTATCGTTCTATTAAGCTTGGAATTATTCGACCAATATGAATGTACTAGAATACATAAAAATCTGACTGTTTTTATATTGGAATGTATCGTAATATATTCTAGCACATACATAATGAATGTCAAATGATTTCCCACCTTATAACTACATGTATGACGTCTCATGTTTGTATAACGTTCGTAGCGGGCATAGTATAGTTGCTATATGTGCGTGTTGCTTAAATCGTGTCGTGCGCAGGACGTATGCTGCCTCCTGGACCGTTGCTTCCAATACCCGCGGCGGAGCGCCCGCGACTGCGGCTGTCAATTTGCATTGCTGCATGCCGCGCCAGACGAACAAAACCAGGGTAGCTAGCGGAGCCCTGCCCGCGGTAAATCGCGGGCATGCCCCCACTGCCAATGCCGATGTGCCGGTTGCGACCACCAAGTAAGCAGTAGCACGCTTACTAGTGTGTTACAAAGTCGCGTTGAGTTTACACGTATTTCTGCTAAGCACGCTACTCACGGACTCGACACTTATGCACCGGTTCACGTCTTTTCATTCATTTCAAACGTCCGACGGGCGTTCACCTCTGGAAGTAGCTCCATGATCACAACAGACGGGTTCTCAATCACAGTTTGATGTTATTTCACAGGAAGATGCTGCTACCCATCCGTCTGATATATTTATTCAGAGACCTACTGAGGCATCCAGCGAAACGAATGTGGTGGCCCTATTTTCTACCGAGAGCTATTCAGCAAAGGTTTGATGACCCTTGAATCCAAATATTTTCAGCACATTTCAAGTGATACGTCACTTGTAAGGGTTGACACGAGGTCACATAGGTATTGTTGTCCGTTTGAAGATAGATGTGTATAATAATAATATATGTGTTGAGTTACAAAGGTGTCAAACGTGAATATGTCGCTTTGACCTGTCTGGTGTTTTGACCTTTTCACGAAAAGACAAATAATGTTATTATACAAAATACTTCACAATCGCACTGGCAGTGTTTTCGGTTTCCAAACACGTTTGTTCACTAGACCCCAAATGTAGCACGCTAGTATTCACAACACTGAATGTACTGTACAATATTTGCTCGTTCAAAACGATTCCCGTGTTTTAAAAGAAAGATTTTCGCTTCACTTACTTCAGTTAAAATCTCTGTCACTAGAGCTTTAATGATGTTATCCTAGGGTCACGTCTAACCTCTTTTAGCGAGATTCTTATCGCTCAGGTTTATGTCAAGATCTCACGTTAAAAGCAGACGCTAAGCAATATGGATCAAAGAATATCGGATAGGTATTAAATTATCTAAACTGTTTCACAAAAGAGTCTAGTTTACGAAAATGATAAGTTACAGACAACAGTTTACTTATACTCAGAAACACAATACAACATGCAAACCACAGAACACCCAAAAACCAACAAATAACCCTCCGAAACACATAAAGCGTACAACAATAACCATTACATGCGGCCTACGGTCCTAAATTGCATTCAACCGCTTTAAACCGAGTTGCTTTACCAACGCTATTTGCCGGACAAAGAAAATATTAGCAACGTAACAAGCCGGCCTCATTTCCCCCATTTCAAGGACTCATGATCGGTGTTCGAGGCCGTAATAATTTGTACGTAAATCTAGTCAAAACCACTAAGTCCATTACTGGGGTGAAATTTCGAAACGTTTTGCGTTGACGGCAATGAGTGATGGATAAAAGAAATGTTTTGCTAAGTTGCACTAATCCTCCTTTGTTCTCATGTTTTTTGGCTTTCTGCCAGATTTTGCTTTGTTTAAAAGTCTATGTATCAAGCATGGGTAGGTTCTGGCTACTTTTGAATACGGTTCGTATGTATTTTGTCTGTCACATAATATAAAAATATATGTTAGTTATTATAAAAAAAATCTTACTATTCTTGTAATATTATAAATGTGAATCAGCGAAAATGAATGAATGTATGTTGGTCTTTTACGCAAAACGACTGGATCGATTTAGTTGAAATTTGGTATGTAGATAATTGATATCTTGAATTAACACATAGCCTTTTTAACCAACATACTTCGCGGGCTAGTGTTTTATATTGGTTTCTATTGAGCTAACAAAAACTTTTATTCTCAATGCCAACGTCATTTAATATAAAATTCCCAACAATTACGTAAAGGTAAGCGTCTACAATTTGAACGCAAGCGTTCAACAGTGATTCAATAAAAACTGATGTACTGAACCAATATTCCCTTGTCAAGTTACATAACATAGTTTGTAACATGCGTCAGCTACAGGATTCTCAATCAATATCAATTGCATAAAGGCTTTGTACTTAACTGACGTACCTTTCTAAAGTTGATAATTGAATTTCCTGTGAACTCCAAACAATTTTCTCGCTTCCTATCCTATGTATAGAGTCTATTTTAAAATAATTATTCCATCCTCGTAACGTAATAAGTCACGGAAGATGATTTAAAACAATTTTAGATGAAGTTCCGCTAATAAGTTTATTTAGTTGCAGTTTCAGAATAATTTTAATAATTAGCGAAGGAATTTGATTAAATTTGTGTTCAGATTAAAATTTATGAAGTTATTGTTAGGAAAATTTGATCGATGATTCGGGACTAAGACTAGACTTAATTATATCATAGAGTCATCATCTTTACTAACTTTTTTCCATAATTTGTAAAATTATTTTATTCCTATGTAAAAAAATAATTTAAAATACCTATTTGCGTAAAAAAATAACTAGCAAAATTATTTCGTAACAAGAATAATATCCATCCATAAAAGTTTATATATTTTTCTGATTTCAAAACATCAATACCACGAAAATTTCTATGAACGTAACTTCTACCTTATTAATTATTAATTTTATTTTGATTACTTCATAAAGTTTATTCGATAAATACGTGCGCTGTATAATCGTCAACAGAAATCTTAAAAGCGTCATTAATTAACACATAACAACATAATTGGATACTCAATTTTCAGTTCCGTACAATTTTCTGTATATTTTACTCGACAAAGTAAAACTGAAGTAGGGTATACAGTTACAAATATCTTGTAAAATTTTCATATTAATTAAGAATTCAATCCGTGATTCTGAAACGTTTTGTCTTAAATAATTCCTTTAATAAGCTTTTATGGAGTACGAAATATGCGTTTATTTTTATTGATAAAATTTATTGCAGCAATAAAAACCGTTATAAGAACGAAATCACGAAAGGAGACCTTTTTAAAAGTAGGTCGGTTATTTTCTGAATAATATTGTAAAATTTTAACATTAAGTTGTAAGTTACAAATCTAAAAATTGTTTTAAAATGATAACAATACGTTGATAGGAATTCAAGTATTGGAATTTTACGTATCTTCGTGACTGAACGGCAGCAAAACGAAGTATGAAGTATTATACCTATCCTTCTTATGCCTTTAGGAGTCAGAGACATGAGAAAAAATATTTTTAAAGCATATCTTTGATTTTTTTATTATTTCAATAGTCAGATAAAAATGTTGTCTGAGGAATAAAATTGTTGCTGTCACTGTCTTATACAAATATTCTGACGCGACAGCATCATAATTATTCCTCAGATGACTTTTATCTAGCTATTAAAAAATCAGACCTTAGTAAAATATAAATGTAGTCTGTCTATGCGCCATTATAAAAATGTTAGGAAAAAACTAATTACAAGTCACCGAACACGTGATATTCTGATGTTTAATTACTATATTTATGACACGAAAGCATTAATCGGTTCGGTATTTACTCATATTTTAACATACATTGAATTTTTTTTTGTTACTTTTTACATTTTTGTTGAGCAGAATCAAAATGTGCTTCTTGTTTTATGAATGTGTAAGTGTGTGGGAATGATTTTTTTTATGGGACAGCATACACAACACTGAATTAAAAGTATATTACTTACTATTGTTAAGTATGTTTATTTTAAGGCTTTAAAGATGGGGTAGTTTCATGATGGTTTTCTGTGCAGTCATATTATGTCTAGTCATGGTAATACTCAATCGAATAGAAAATTGAACTCTTTTCCCGTAAAATCTTGAATATATTGTTAGTATTTTGATACTCTTGTCCATAAATATGCTATCGATATTATAAACAAGATTAATTCCTTCGAATTCCGATGTTTTTAAAAAAAATAAAAACAATAAAGAATGCTGTGCTTTGAAATATCGGTATAGGAAATCGGCATATTACTGCTCTTTGTAAGTTTGTAGTTCGCAACTACATAGCTATCGACCTCCTTGATAAAATCCAGGACGATGTGCTAATACAATGAAATACTAGATACATAAAAAAAAAACTCGCTATTACACACACAACACACGCCTTACGCCATAAATATAAAGAAAACATGAATAGAATAGCGTTAAAAACTTTCACTCTTATTACAATAACCTTAAGGTTAAATTGCTATAGGACAGAAATAACAGGCACTAGGTCATTCATCCTTCGATGTAAATAAAAGCAGGTGAAACGGTAGGTACCTAGTGTTAATAAAAAATTGAAGAAAAACCCTGCCCCACATTCCCATTGTCGGTGGCTGCACGCGACGGCCATAGGCAAATAATACAAGTTTCAAACACCCTTGTAACGTGTAGGCTGTTAAAGTAATAGCTATGAACATTAGTAACAGTGAAAAATTTACACGTCACTGAAACGTATTCATGTAATTTTTGTTGAAAATTGAAAACTATTTCCCAGTAGACAGAATCTGTTTTTACATAACTCTTCACAAGTAAAACCATAAACACATATAAACGGATTTTGTAATTTCCATAAACTCTGGCGGTATTCAATTTTTGATAATAATTTATTTAGGCAAACACAAACATTTATCCAAACAAAAGTTTTCCTTCCGAAACTCGTGAATCGCGTGCTCAGCAATGACAAGTTACTTCAAGGATTTAAAAGTTAAGCAAAAAACAACTTTATGCCTTTAATAATTAAATTGTTTTGAGTTACTTGAATTCAAAGTGTATTTTCACTTTGATCGTGGGTTTGTTGATGTCACAAGCGTCGCATGCTTGTCGCCCTGACGTTCCGGTGACACGCAAAGAATAAAACTCATTATTAATACTATTGTACATGCTTTTTGCTGTCAATAACTTTGTATCCAAAAATAGCTTCCACATTTTTTAGTTTATAGATAAGGCTAAGTAGACTCGCTACTTTTAGTTAAGTTAATTGATTTAAATGCTATTTAAGTAATTTTAGACATAAAAGCTAATTAATAGTTAAGCAAACAGCAAGATTTTGAAATACAGGAAGATATATACGTACTCATGTGAATGAAAAACAATAGAATCATTTGAAAAGTATTGAAAAAGATAGGAGATATTAAATAATCAAAAATGTTCCACAATGAACAAAGTCAAAGCAAACTAAATTATAATAATAACAATGTAAATTGATAAAAAGATGAATAAAGAAACCTCAAAAATGTAAAAGGTAGGATGGCTACTTAAGTCACAAAGTTCACGTGAGTCGTTGCACATTCACACGTCGTACCAAGTTTCAAATTGATGTTTAGAGAACGCTAGAAATTGTATAGAATATTGAATTTATCTTTCCAAGTATCATGCGGGTTAACTTCAAAACTTTTCCCTTGAAGTTACACGACACTGGTTGGCAGATCTTGCTCAAAACTTGTTATCTAATACGACAATTGTTTTTATAACTTTGTTCCATATTTTTATTTATATTTTTCACTTTATTCATCTCTTCAACCTTCCAAAATTTTGCATATTATCTATAGCAAACCTTTCTGGGATTAATATTTGATTTTGTTAATCAAATTTGATATTACATTATTTATTTTCAATTTTTAAATAACGATTCAAGGTAATTTTAGGTCTTCATGAACTTTCCCACGCAAGAGTATCGAATTCTCTCAAATTTATTATGTTTCATTTTTGTCTATACTTATTTGAATACAATATACTACATGTCCGTTCTATGACACGGATTAAAAAAAAATACTGGAATCTCGGATACGAAAGGGTTCCCAATTGATTTTTTTACTATCACAAAATATACTATACACACTTTTTCTTCACCTTTTATGAATTGTCTTTTTGGAATGATTTCTAAGCACTTTCTTTTCTGTCTTGTACTTGTTGAATTTTTTTATCTCTTTCACCTTTTATTATCTTTTTATTTTTAGCTCTAGACATTTTAGATCACGGAGATGGATCGCTTCACCAAGACGGATTTTTCTCCATAGCTGAGGATGTTGATATATTTCGTTAAATTTACATCTTTTTTATTCCATTACAGCACATGCGGTGGTCCCACACGCACACACAGAGCTTGGAGTGTGAGGAGCGATTGTTGGCTCGATGCAGTCGTCCTCGAGTCAATTCGGCAATTTTCGTGTCAGCCGAGCCTGCAGGCGGTTTCCCAGGCTTCGATGCTGGCGAATTTCTAAGACGACACGGGTCTCAGTCGAAACTTTGTCGTAAAGCGAGGTACGTACAGTAAATCAAAGACATTTACGATACATTTCCCTAGTGTTTGTATCTTCTACAAAGCAGTATATTTACTTTAGTTAAAGAAAAAAGCAGTAATAGAGTTAAGAATTAATACGTAAAATAACTTACAGATCAGCGGACAACATACCTTTAACAGCACTAAGTGACTCATCCGAGAGACTTTGCAAAGGCAAACATCCAAGAGAGGATACAATCAATGAAGAAGCTAAATCTGATGACAGCATCAGTGGAAGCGTGGAGACTGTCAAACATTTTGGCTTGCCAATTCTCTCGGTGTCTGGCCCGTCGCCCCCAGATGAAGACTACGACCAGATAGATGAGTATCTGTAGCATTTCCATACCAGTTTCCAGCTGAAATACGTGCTGGAAAAGGTGAGGCCGCCTTGGCCCAGCCCCGCACAAAGTCCTTAAGCAGACGACTAGTAAAGCTTAACTGCACTGGACTACTATAAACCTTTTTCTGTTTGTGATAGTGTGTGTTTTTGAATGGCTGGTTCAGACTCTGCGGCGTCACAACGAATTTCGAAGACTATCCGCTGAAGTTCTTATTGTGTGTCTTGATGAGGGACCATGGCATAGCGTGGTGTTTCCTTTAATCCTAACATTGATATTTTTGTATCTAATCTCCTGTGTCTATTGAGTGTTATATAATCGATTAGACTTTTAAAAATCACTTTCATAGCGTAAGGACTGCACAATAACTTTACTAATAATATTATTAACAGTGCCACTTTTAACTTTATTGGAAGTGTCTATAACATTATTATAAGCAATCTTGATGTAAGTATTATCTAAATTATCTTGTAAAAAATAATAATCTGCAGTGTCTTAGACATTTTCATTTAATATAGTTGCTAATTCACTGTGAGTATAATTATAATGCGTATAATGTTTTGTATCGCATGTAGGTATGGAAAGATTTTGCATGTACTTAGTATAATTATGTAGAGGTAGAATCAATGAAATGATTTGAAGGTTGAACTTTGGTCCAATGAAATGTATTACCTGCACACGGTGTGTTAGAATGTAAGGATGTATTGTAAGGGGATTCTGTGTGATGGGAAGTAATTGTAGAGTTCTGTAAAATAACATAAAAGTGTGTAAACTATATCGTACGCCTAGACTTTGATACTATCTTATCCTTCAATTTCAACACCTACCTTCCTTTTTACACAACTTTCCAAAAAAGGAGTGTTATTTTACTTTTCCTAATTCAAAAATGTTAGTTCTTTTAACGGCCAGTGTTTTTATTTCTGAAATGTTTTTATTTCTGTTATGTATATTTTATGTTCAAATCACAGAATATTTTCGACATTGTCAATTAGACCTCGATTAAAATTATTATTCGGTTCAAATTTTGTATTTCATAATTTTGTAAATAGCTAAGTACGTTGAAGGCACTAATTACTTATAAAGAATGAATATACTTAGTCTATATTTCTATATTGTATAATAAAAAAAAACTGTTGGTTTTCTAAATGTATGAATCTGTACTGGTGATTAGGGACCAGATGGACAGGATATGTCACAGTAGGCCTTAAATCCAAATCACGGAGTTTTTCCAAATCCTATATAATTATGTACTAATATTTTGAAATTAATAGTACGTATTTCAAAACTAAGACTATATTATTCCCTCCACTATGTAAAGAAAATCCTTCATCAATTTTTATAGTAGTGTGATGCACATAGCTTGAGTTTGATTTCGTTCAAATCATCAAATATATTATTTTTTCATTAAGAAAATGTAGAACAACATTGCGGAGCTCCGTTTCAAGCGCTTTAGACATTAGCAAAATAAAAATTAGACATGCCATTTTGAAAATAATTTCGTCTCATATATAGATAGCTATAAAAAACCCTTCCGAAAATCAGTTTCAATAATAATTATACTTAATATAATACTAGATAATATAGTCGTCAATTTTGATCCCAAATCGTAGATACACGTGAATATTGTACTTTTTGATTGATAGATTTAGTAGAATAACTATTATAGAAAACTGTACAGACCTTATTTCTTATGGTTTCTATAAGAATCAAATTGTAGTCACTATACTAAGAAAGTTAGGTATGTCGTATTAAAAAAATATATCATAGCAGATAATAAAAAACGAAACTTTTTAGAATAAAAAATCTAGCTTATTAAAGCATAGTAGGTACACTTTAAAATAAATAATAATAATAATGAAATATTTTGAGTCGATTGCCATTCTAAATATCATAATCGCAAATCGATTTTTGTGTGTAAATTTAGATTGAAAAAGAACATTGTTTTTGGTGAAATCTGAATCGTTTTAAAAACTGAATTTGAATCTTCTAATGTTTTTCATTAAATCTGTGTATGATCGAAGTGTCTTGTGCCAATCTTGATGTTTCTCTATTCCTTTATTCTTTTATATATTGTATTTTAATTTAAATGTTTTCTAAATTTCAAACTTTGAAATTAATTTTCGAAACTATTTATGATTGAACCTGTATCACTGTCATAATAATCGATTGTTTCGTCACTGCTCGATTTAATCGACTATTTTTGTTTATTTTCTCGATTCGACGATGTTCTTAAATTATAATATTTAAAGCTAAAGGTTTAGACGTTACACCATTAAAGTTATTTTGTAATTTTAAATTATAGTGTAGCTTTTACATGATATTAGAGTGCATACCATATTTAGAATTTTACTAATTGAAGTTGTACATATCTCTGAACGATCACTATTGTTATAATTATAAATGCTCATAAGTTTTAATGTACATTAAAATGGTCTATTAAGTATATTGTACAATTACTATTTACATCCCTACGTCTATTTACTATCACGATGAAATAAAATTTTAAAAGTCTTTTTTCTTGTTTTATTTATTCATAACGATTGACTTGTGTCTATCTAATGACAGTATATCTAATGACAGAATCCTTTATATATTTTTTCTATCTAAATAAAACGTTGCCTCACTCTAGGATTTTCTCCTGTGTGGTGCATGTACAAATCACCCAGACTCAGAATAACAAGTTGTAGATCGCACCAAAAATTTTTCCATGCATCTTATGTGTATCTGCTTACTACTGAGTAGAGAGCTTATCTCATACGGATAAGGCAATTTCACACTCAAAATTAGAAATTATAGTTTCAACTTTCCCAACGATGTTTTCCTTCGTTGTATGTGAGTAGTGTCTAAATAATCTTAATAACTATATATTTATCTGGAAAACTTTACATTGGTACTTGCCCTGTTTCGGCACTGTACCATCAAGCATAAGAAGAAAGTGCCTAAACCTCCGGAAAAATTGCACATCAAGTTAAATAACACTTGATATGAATATAGGAAGAAGAAACAATACACGCTTTTCAAAGAACAACAAAGGCTAATGACATATCACAAGCCATACATTCTTCAGTGTGTTTCAATTATTTTTCCAATTATTTATTCTTCCAATTTTACCAGAATGAAGGGCGTTGACCTTCGAGTCATTAACGACCATGCTCATCATATTGCGGCCTGTAAAACGAATATTAACAGCCTTCGTGTTACATTGCTTGATGACTATACCTTCCATACTTTATGAAGCAAAATATTGGTAGTAGTTCCCGAAATAAAGGGTACAGTTCTATACAAAAGAATGGACGAACTGAGGGATCGCTTTGACTTTTTTTATCAATAGAACACAGTTTCATCTTATGTCGACGCTGTCTATAGGTTCAGAGATCCTTCTTTTCAAACATAAGGCTGGTAGGCATCTATGTAGGGCAAATAAGTACCAATGTGACTTTTCAGATTACATTATAATAATGTGGTTTCTATCTAAGGTTATTTAAGAACACACAACTATTTGGTTAACACTGTTAGACAAACAGGATTAAAGTCATTCTGTCTCTTGTATTAAGTGCACCATAGGAAGTGGAAACTTTTTCCTTAATAACATCGTTTGGTGTTTTGACTTCAGTGTTTCGGTGTAATCATGGTTATATCTATTGTAGGTCCTATCTTACAGGAAACACAGCGGTTTTGCGGGTTTATTCCACAAAAAAGGAGCAGGAGTTCGAACACAAGTAGCTTTTAGTTACCAGAGTCTGACACTCTATCCGTCTCACCCAGGGGTAGCCTTTGAAAGGTTTTTTGCCATTTCACCGTTGTTATTTCTTATGATAAATGTCGTGGTGGCCCGGAGGTTAAGAATCGTGGTGGTCCGGAGGTTAAGATGCCCGGTTCTCATGCATGAATGTGTGGGTTCGAAACCTGGCAAGTACCAATGTGACTTTTTCCAAGTTATATGTACATTCCATGATTATTTAGACACCACTGATAATATACGATGAAGGTAAACATTGTGAGAAAACCTGGACTTATAATTTCTACAAGTGTAAGTTTGAAATCGCCAACCCGCATTCTCGGTATGAGAAGAGGCCTTTGCTCAGCAGTGGGCAATTATAGGCTGATGATGATGATTTCTTGTGCCATATTTCATTAGTATCATAGAATTTACACTTTGAAACGAGCAAATAGCTTTACTAGAGGACAGACGGACAGGCTGACCTGTATAAAGTTAAATCTTATGATTTTTTTTTTGCTTGACATTCAAATGTGCCTGTTGTGGTCTACTTGAAATAAAAAATTGGATTTGATTTATTTAGTATCAACAAAACGAAATAAATTAAAAAAGTACTAGTGTTCTTGCTTATACGAACGAACTCAACGACTTTTGTTATCGACTGTTATTGTATCAAAAATTCAGTATTTCCTAGTTTTTTGTTAAAACAATGTTCGATCAAGTCCATTTCTGTGAAGGTTTTTATTAGCACGTTAATACTTCATTAGTATCGATCTATTCATGTATTGGTGTTGGTTCGAATAGAATATTAAATTACTTTGGTATTTTTCAGCTTTCCCGTCATGTACGAAGTAAGCGTATATCCGCGTTTATGATTAGTGTCATGAACGAAAAAAAATTTTTTAATGAAACTTAAATACAGGTACTTTTAAAACAGTCAAATCTATAATATATCTTATATATTTATAAAAATAGATCGCAAAATGCGTTGGTAAGCGCATAACTCAACAAAACCTTGACCAATTTGGCTAATTCTTTTTTTGTTGTGCTTTTATTGACAAGAGAAGGTTCTTATTAAAGAAAATATTAGAAAAGTAAAGGGGAAGATTAGAAAAAGTGACCCTTTGATAACGAGATAGTTAGATCCGTTGCGAAGGGGGGTGGGCCGCTAGTTATATATAAAAATCAATGCCACTCTTCGTTGTAATGTTATACTCAACAATGCCTTCAGCGATTTGGCTAATTTTGATCTTGAATTCTTCCTAAAACTATTAAGTCC